CGCACGGTCTGCCCTTGGATCAGCTGTGGGCGGCGTCTCCTGCCACTACACCACCTTCTCGCACGGCTCGAGCAAGTTGTCAAAAAGAAAACAGTTTACCGATTGCCATTCTACATTCTTTGAGACCATACTTAGCGAATGATGATAATAATTTTATTTTCAGAATATTCAGAAGTTGCTGGAGTATCACCTCTGCCTGCCTACTATGAAGTTCTCTACAATGACCAACTGATAACATCTTTCAATAATCTCACATCAGTCAAGCAAATGTAATAGATGTATAAATAGATATATTTATATTTAAATAGTTGTGAATTGTCAGATTACTTGTAGTTGTGCCACAGAAAAGTGACAGCTGTGATTCGCAATAAATATCAATCTTTACTTGTTCGTGTTGTCTACGTGTGCTGGGGCAGTTCGGCCACGGGGTGGGGAGCATTTTGCACTTTTGCTACCTCCTGTCTACGTGTCGACCCATCTAGATAGCCTTTTCTTGAGTTGACAGGTTTTACCATGGTGGCTGACGAGCTTGCTCCAGCTTCACAAGAGTTCACAGGTTTCACCAGAGTGAGACTTGTAAACCGGAAGTAGTGAAGCAGCGAAAGTGGTTAAGCAGCGAACCTCCCCAGCTGCTGAGCTTGTCTTCTTTCAAAGGCAAAAACAAACTCCTCCGTACACTCTGTGTCTCTGAGATGGAGAGGGCGTGGTTGTGTACTCTGCTTCAGCGCTGCATAAGACGAGTTTTAGCGGGCTATTCCCACAAGTGGCAAGCTGTCATCCTGTACTGTGCTGGATGAAGACGTGATTATGCCAACACGAAAATATTTCACCAAAAGCGCAGCCTCTGCCACGCTCAAATGATGCACGCAGCCACGCCCTACCATCTCTCAGATATGGAGTGTACGTTAAGACAGCCCTATGCATAACACACAGCCATTTTCGCTGCAGACGCTGGTGAGTGCCAAGCGAACTGGGATGGGCGTTGCGTCAGCCTGTTTTCCAGCAATAATTGCCAAGAAGCCAAGAATCAGGGGGAACGTGCCGACGCCAAATGCGGTCCCCTGAAGTGGAAGACTATCGAGACAACCCGGTTGGCCCCTCACGAATTGGATGCAGCGTGTTATATCCATATTATGGATATAGGATTGCTAGTATGTCTCTTCCCTAGATAGAAAATTATGAGGGGTAGCGTACTTTTGGCTTCGAGCACCATCGCACCCTTATCTCTCACTACCGGACCACGAAAGGCTACTTACGCAGGGAAGTGATGGCTACCTATCTGGTGATCCGGTAATCTATCTGAAAGCGATCCATCATTCACATCTGGCGCTATGTGCCTAAGAAGGTGCTAGTCCGCAATCTCGTGTCATCGCTATAGCGACCTGCAACTTTTGAGAGCGAAAAGCCCCGAGGTGGGTGAAGCGCTCACTTCTGCCATTTGCAGGAATGCGCGAGGTGTCTCATCTACCTCAGACCTGCCTCCTTGAAGGCGTCCGCGATTAGTAGAGTAAGTAAAGGTGTTGAAATACGGAAAAAAGTTGAGTGACTTGCCTGTGTAAAGAAAATGCCAAAGGGAACGTCGGCAACGCCTTTAATAGAGCTCCTCCAGCCAAAAAAAACTGCACGTGTAGAAGGTCAAAAGACCGCGCGTTGAGGCGAGTCCAGCCGCCTGATCCGTCTAACGAACCCGAAGACCTCACAGAGACTGTAAAGCAGCTCCATTTCATGCCACTTGTCCAATAGCATCGCTTTTGGCAGGAAAGCACACTTCGAAGGCGGAGTCTGGAGGCGGCGCTACTGCAAAAAAGGAGGTGCCACTAAAGCAACTTACTTAGCGCCCTATCTCTAACACCTTACAACTGTCCACTGCGGAACTAGTACAAGGTTGTCCACTGCGTACCACCTTCCCTACAATCTTTTGCATTTTTACAGGATACTGCAGACCACTTCTTCAAATATTGCGTGCTACACCATGACTACCCTACGGAGAATTGGCTCAAAATTGCTTACTGGCACCCCTCCCTCTCCAAGAGGCACATACCTTCACAAGGATCCTACTGCTAGGCCTGCAGAAGTTGAGACAATGAGTTCTGAAGAATTTTATTTGAAACACTTTTTGCTCAATTCAACCCTTTCGCTACGTATAACAATTAGAAAATAACAGCCAAATAAATACATCATAGAGAAGCACCACCGGCAAGAGGACACATCAAACGGGCACATTCCACACTGATCATATGGGCGGAGTTTGACCTACAATTGTGCATTCGCCATTATATGCCTATTCATTATTGTATCAGGTGCGAAGGTCCCATCAACGAAGAATACAGTGGCAGGGCCGGTTCCGCCCATATGAAAAAGCGTGGATGTGCATTGAAACTCCGGTAAATTGTATGATGAAAAATAATTGAGAGCGACGCATTGATATTAAAAATTCAATCAATAATACAAAACACGGAATTGAGCTTTTTTCAACATACATGAGCGTTAAATCACAGAAACTTTGTGCATATCTATCTTACACTGGAGAAAACCCACGACAAACATTCAGCATAATATGAATCAGATCGATAAGTGACTTCTAAGAAAGCGTGTCTACCCTATAAAGTCCTCAGATGTGGTAGGGGTTGGTAGTTCAGGAGATCCACCTTGCGGCTACTCGGCGAAGATGGCTTAGCAAGAAAAACAGCGTAAGCAGCAGCGCGCATTACCAGGCCTAATCGCTTTCAAACAGTATTTCTACAGCTAGAGCTTATTGGCTAGGAAGGAGCTAGCTTACGCGCGTCTATCTGCGCCGAAACGCAGATCTCCTGCTCTACCCGATAAATCTGAGCTTGGCAACTGCTTTGTGATAAGACGGATCGCTAGCAGGGCAATCCGTACGTTGGGTAACCCCCAGGGTGGATATTTGGTCACTGGAAGGAGGGTGTCGAAGTAGCCGTGAGAAGCGTGACAAGTGCCCTGATCGGTAGTACTTTTGGCGAATTGACCAGTCGTTTTCACTCTTCATGTCCCGACTTTATTGAACCATAGAATATCTGGAAGTAAATAATACATAAAAGATATACGATCACGGAATGCGTCTTTAAAGGCAAGTGGCACGATAAATCCAAGATGAAGGATTAAGACGCTTAGCAGGACAAAATTCCACGTCCCTGAGTAGCCGCTGCTTGGCGCCTTTTCTAAGAAAGGTACCCTTATAGCGCCCTGCTGCAACATACCGACCCAGACGCCCACCGCGCACGCCCGCCCACAAAGGTCCGACCGATGCTGATGTTCGTATCGCTTCATTTGCAACGTACATATAAGGAAAGGGTTTGATGTGAAGCGACTCCGCCCTGCATGGTCAATTGAGTACATACAAGCAGCCATATCTACCGTAGCGCTTCTTGGCGATGCCAACGGAAAACTCGTCCGAAATTGCTTTCTGAGTCGTGTAGAACAAAGGCTTTTTGCAGGTTTTTGACCGTTTCACTTCGCTTTTTCGCCATTTCCCACTATATAGCACCCCTGCTACCATTTTAGACCGATCACCAAATTATCGTGCCTTATGCCTATAAATGGTGGAAGATTAACAAAGAGCTGCATGAGGGAACTGACCTTGCACCTATCTATCATCTGATAAGCCTATCCAAATAGCCATACAACAGTTAGCACAAACAATCCCAGTGACAACTTCCGACCGATTTCGGAAAAGTCTGGGAGCCGTGGATAGCGCCGTTGAGCAAGTCGTCGAAGTTGAACTTGTGGAGACTTGCCATTGCATAATTGTCCTTGGCAGTAACAAAATGTTACATTTATGCTGAAATCAAGAAATAACACTAAGAAATCCTATTAAACAGTAAATACACCAAAAAACATAAAAATGCTTGAAAGTAATAACAATAATCATAAGTTACAAAGTGAATCAATACAAAATACTTGAAGCACACAGCACACACTGTGACGTAGCTCTACAAGCAGGGCACAGCACCGTTGTGAGAAAGGCAAGGGGGGGGGTCGTATTTGACCGCTGGAGAGGAGGAGTCGTGCGTGCCACTGAGAGAAATTCGGCGGTTGGAAAAAAATTTTTCCCGGTTGCTGACTTTTCACGCTTTTTTTCACATTGGATAAGTAGCGAATTTCCGGGAAATTTCGGAAAAAAATTTTGGGAAGCTGGGAACATGTAGGAAAGAGGTAGATAGGTGCCGGGAAAGGGAGAGGCTTACTCTTACCGAGAAGAAGAAAGACGTACTACTCTTACCGAGAAGAAGAAAGACGTACCGAAACCCTCTTTCAGGGGGAGAATGTACCGAGATCCTCAGGGGGGTCTCGGTACGTCCCCCCCTGTACCACATTTACAACGCTTGGGCATAATTACTGTATTGATTCTATGAAAAATAACACTAAATGTTGGTACTGTTGCTTTATAATCTTGACGGTGGCTTATGAAGAGCAACTTATGCCAATTGTCTTGTCCCTACGAATCAACCTCTAAAGGAGCAGTTCACCCTGATCATATGGGCGGAGTCAGCCGTACTGTTGTACATTCCTGGTCCACATGCTCCTTCTCCCCACCGTACTATAAGGAAGTAATGAGAAGTGAGAGTATTCGACAGCCTTAGCTCCTCTGACCAGCGTGCATTACGTCTTTGACCTGCCGGGATCCTTCTCAGGTCAGTTCAGTAAAGGCCTATTGATGAAAGCAGTGCTAACCGTTTCCACGACCGTGTGCACGAATCCGCACCAGGCTAGCCAAGACTTCCGTCTCTCCCGGTATGAAAGGTCTCCAAGCCCTTCTCCTAGCTAACAAACACTCTGGGATCATTGGTTGGCGCGCCCAAATTGTTTTCAGAGACCTTTGGTTCAATGCAGTTCAAATGCGTGGCGCAGCCGTTGTTGGAACGAGACAACTTCAGCCAGCTTACCCATTCTTTTGTAGTTACGACGCCCCTCCTTGTGAAGGACCAGAGGCAGCGTTCAGACTTCGCGACGGCAGCTCTTCGGTCGCGCGTTCGACGCGATCGATGCAGTCGCAAAGTCTGAACGCTGCCAGACACTTGACTTCAACTGACTGCATGCGGCATGCATTCTGCATTCACTTGAAATCAAAGAGTCATTTGAACTGCATCTGGCCTACCCTATGTCGTGCAGCGCTAACCAATGTTCAGCTAAGTGTTGTCATCCCTCCAAAAAACCTGCCACTAACTAGGTGGCCTCATGTGAATGGAAGCCTGCTTGGCCAGGGGGGGACTGATTCGGGGTTTGATCACAGTCCCACAGTAATGACAGCTGCGTCGCTTGCCACATTCCTTATCCTCTGCTCGAATGGACAACTAAATTAAATAATTAATGTGAACGTACCGATGATTTCGGACAGTGTCACGCACACTGTGTCGGCATAAGATATCCTTTCCTTCAGGTAATTTTTTCGGACTTCGAAAATACGTTTGGCAGTCACGAACGATCCCTAAAAAGGTGTTTTCTCGGAAATCGCTTAATAACTAAACCTCTCAGAAGGAATTAGCATTAATCACCAATCAAGTAATTATTATAATAATATAATATAATAATACAATCAAGTAATTATTATAATTAATATAATATATTTCTCTTCTTAGGGAGGTGGTGTGGGACTTGCTCATAATTTTTAAAATGTTGTCATTAAACACACGTTCCGCGATGAATAGACAGGCGGAGTCTCATGACCATTGCGCGATAACCACTGGTGTGCTCCTCCTTATAAGGAGGAAGGTGCAATAGTCATGAGACTTGACCTACCCGATTATAGCGAAATGAATCTTTGAAATTTTTTTGCTCATAGACTTTCTGCGTTCACAAGTTAAACAAAAAAATAAACAATACAAAAAGGCATATAGGCATGGTTGCTACCAGGCCACTGCTTACCGATCACTTTTCCGTCATGTTTCCCTCCAACTGCTGTGATATTGATAGTCATGCACGGCGCGTTACAGGGAACATGTCCCAGCGGAATTTCGTCATTCAAACATGCGTCGTCAGCCATCATTGAATCACCCTCGGTTCGTGGAAGACCGTAACGGGACCAATTCTGGAGAAAAATTCAAATAATGGATGGAAGAGATCATTGAATGTTTGTAGTACTCACTATTAGCGCAAGTTCTGAGGCACACTGATAGCACATTCCCGGAGATGCTGCTGGTAGAAAGAATACAAAAATCAATAAGCTGTATAACATCTGAAAAGTTTGGAGATTAATAAACGACACGACACGAAGACATTTAAAACACATTCCGCGATAGCCAGTGGGGCGGGCAAAGAGGCGGAGACCCACAACCATTCTTCTCCACTGGTGCGCCCCTCTCCACAATAATGTAGAGAAAAGTGACGCTCCACTGCGTGAAGCACCAAGGTTGCGAGTCTCATATGAGATAATCTAGTCATCGCGGGAACCGTTTTTGACCGAAGCTTCCCAGAAATGCAATGAGTCTTGAGGAGATGGAGGATTCACACCAATAGGAAAAGAAAAAATAGAATTAGGAATGTGGTGGATATACATAAGGGAAGACTGTCAAAAAAATTTCATGCAGAAATAAAAGTGAATACATAAATTAACAAACAAATAAAAATATGGGAGTGGGAGTTTTTTTCGAAATCGTGCAGGAGCCTGAGGCTGTGCATACAGCCCATATCGGAGAGCAGTGGGGCGGTGATCACGAGAGCGACATTGCAGGGGGCAGAAAAAAGGGCGGGAATGAAGTAGCTGCAAATACAGTCGCCTTTACATCTCTGTGGGGGCCTGCCGGCGAGGCATGAATTTTGACGCGGCGCCGGATTCTCACCAGTTATCTGGAGTGCAGAGACATTACCACACACGTTAATATGTATATCGAGGCAAAGAACATGTTTTGTTCAATTCCTGCGCTGCTTTCCATCCTTTTTCATCAGCTCGAATCCGCCCTTTTTCTTTACCAAATAACCCTCCGTTGGTTCAGGGAGATTATGCATCCCCGTTCCTTATCCGTGCACCTTGATACCGCCCTTGGAAAATTAACCTTACTGTCAGATTGACCTCGACAGTAGTATATGGCGGTAGCACGCTGCACTGACTGGAAATCAACATACCAACTCTGCGAGAGGATTGCTTTTGTTTATTATCCTTTAATGACCAAGTAAATTGTGATGTCGTCGCATCTACTGCATAAGTATGCCGCTCTCTTGAAATTAGGTAGAGACTCGTTCACTGCGGACGCTGGGGCGTGTTAAGGGGCTGAGTCTGACGCAACGCCTGCCAGTTTTCCACCGGCTGTGGTCGCCTGCCAGTTAAGTGGAGATTGGCAAGCGCCGCCAATGCCAGCATGCCAGCCCACCCTGACAAGCCCCATCATCCGCAGCGAAGAAAAATCAGAAAAAAGAGAAAAGACTAGAGAAAAGGAAAAAAACGGAAGACTAATGAATCGTACTTCAGTGGCGAAGGGAGAAGGAGGTAGTGGCAAGTGGCCCGCTTATGCCGGTTGCGGTATGGAGGTCGAATCGGCTCTCTCCCAAGCCTTCCACCCTTCGGGTACAGAAAAATGGTACCCATTTGTCAGGAATGATAAAACACTAACTCACACACTGGCTCACCCCTTCTGTATGGAAGTAGTAGAAAGCTGCAACTCGAAGAGAGGCTTAGACCATCTTTTTAACACATTGCGGGCCGTCGTACTGCACGCATCTCCGCATCATTTTGAGTAATTCATCAGTAGTTTCCTCCCCTTTTCCAATCGCTCATAAGGTAAGTATCTTCCGTAACCGAGAATGTGTTTTGACAACAGTGGAACATAAAAGGAGAACCAAATTAATCCAATAAAACGCAGCCTAAGGACAAGTCATGACACACCATGTCTGTCACACGGTCCGGAACCTGTTAAAGTGAACTTCGAGGTAGTATGATGGTGGATAGATTTCCAGCACTTTTACCCCTTGAATGCAAGAGCTATGTTGCCTACAATGGCTTTCTTGAAAACAGGGCTTGAAAGGGATAAAGTGACCTCGTCAAAATAGGCCGAAGCATTTACTGATTAGTGTCATTTTAGTTAGGTCAGAATTCTAACTCCGCATCATTATCCGATATGGCTAGAATCTTAAACCAGCAGCGTCATCATGACTGAGCTGAAAGCCCCACTCAACAGCGTCACTCAATCGATCCACAGTTCTTTTCCGCAGCATCATGGGAACGAGCCAGAACGAGCCTAACCCGAGGTACAGCCTCCACTTCATTTTGGCTTACGAGGATACTTTGTAGACAGTGGGAACGATGGCTGGGGAAGGGCGGTGCTCCCGACGTCATTGGTGGAAGGGCTTAGTGGGGTGTGAGCGAACGCCCTCTCCCAGCCCTTCCACCAATGGCGTCGGCAGCAACTTCCCAACCCGTCCGTCGTGCCCACGCCACTGAGGCGATAATTCCTCTTGTGAAGCTCACGATCTCTCCACGGACATCCAGTCCAATGAGTTGAGCAAGAAATTCGTTGATGTCAGCAGAACCAGATGTAACCCTATACTGTAAATACACGAATAACGTGACATGAGTGTGATGTAGCCAGAAAAAGAGCAAAGAGACCTTATGCAAATAAGAATCGCGAACATTGTAAGGTATTATGACACTCTCCAGTCTTCCCGTTCAAACAAAATCCTTTGATAAAAACCCCAAGGGATATCGCTCAAATTTTCTCCGCAAACATCTAATGAATCGGCTATGCATTATATCTCATTTACATAAGAATCGGCGTTGATGACGGAAGATTTATCAGAGGAGAGGAGAGGAGTGAAATGAATTGAATCAGGGTACAGTATCGTTGTGTAAAACACAGGAATTCGTACTCGACCGCTAGGGAGGGGTGTCGTATTTGGTCGTTGTTGGGAGAGGGGGTTGTATGTGCCTTTGAGAGAAATTTGCCGCGTTGGGGAAAACGCTTCACATTGGCTGTATATCCCTCGGCTCGATCAGAAAACTTCTGCGTGAAAAACTGGTAGGAAGTTGAGAACTTGTAGGAAAGTGATAGTTGGGTGTTAGGGTAGGGGGGGGTCGTACCGGAGACCCTCCCTCGAGGGGGGTGGGAGTAGTACTGGACACCACCATTTCACATATCACTATGCTGTACCCTGAATCGGATACTCACGATTTTCTGAAGAAATTTTTGAAAAAAATCGAGTGAGAGCTGGAAGTAGAGAGGATCGATCTGCTCGTGATTATTTGCTCAGCTTCTGGACATGGCCGTACATTCACAATAGAAAGCAGTATTATGTACTCTGTTAATCCGACATTTGTTTAACGGAAAACAGGGGGATAAGGAATATTTTTCGGAGCGTGGCTCCATAAGGAACAAAGAACTCGGCGATGAACAACCACCACGTAGGGTGCGCCATGCAATTGATTTCCATTCAGAATCACTGTGGCATCGGTTATGTACGACTCGAATACGCAATGATCTGTGGGAGCCAAGCGGTGCACCAGTAAGCTTTGCCTGACGGGCCCTATACCAGTTACTCGTCAAGCGACGGAAGGTCTCATTAGGGCGCTGATCGGTCAGGTAGCAGACCTCAAGACCGTGAGCGTGGTCAGTAACCATCTGCTTCTACACTGGACCCGCTCGAATAATTGTACATGAGAAGATAAGTCAAAATGATCTAGAAATATAGGAGAGTCTAAAAACAAAATCTTAGAGAAGTCCTACACATAGGTCAACAAATAGCGCTTGTACTTGAGAATTAACTCCGCCCCCCTGCATCCCCCTGTCCGCTGTGTACATCAGAGTGATGATTGTGAATACTGTAAAGGGTGAAATACATGATGTTCTCTTTATTGCCATAAAAGACAAACCGCGCGATTGTATATTGTGGTCAGTACCGATCAGTTAGAGACCTATAGTAACTAAATGACTCGCAATGGAAGAAAAATGCGAGCAAATCATGGGAAACTCTTTAAGGACATCCCCCTGGCAGCCCCACCGTACAAGTTTTCCGGTACCTGCTCGTTTTGTGCCAGCGAGCGATATCCTGCTGCCTTTGGCTCACTAATTGTTTCTTCGATTCATCCAATGTTAATGTCAATGTCATCTAGCAGTCAAACAAAAAAAAAACAGCGTATCAAAAGTGAACTCATTGACAGAAAACAGCCTTTGGGTTTTGGTGAGCGGAGCAACTAGGGAGGCGTCACCTAAGAGGAGCGCAGCGCCTTTGTTACTCACCCGAAGCGGGGAAAGTTGGACCGTCTCAAAGGCTGAGGAGCAAACTACTTCTACAAGGAAAGACGCCAAGTGGTTGAGCGCAGATACCCCAAAATCTAACGAAGGAAAATCTTCGAGACTTCCAAGTTTTCTCGTAAAATTGTTGAATTGCTACTGATCTCCGAAATGTACTCAAAACGCGGTGGGCACGATGGCTGGGGCGGGAGGTTGTTGCCAACGTCATTGGTGGAAAGGTTGCGAGAAGGCGTTTGGCCACACCCCACTCACCCCTTCTACCAATAATGTCGGCGACAATCGCCCGTCCTCAGCAATCGTGCACTTGCCTTTGAACAGAACCGATATTTGAGCTGAGTTGATTAGCCAATAAATCAATATCGATTATACTGTAGAACACCAGATAGCTTCACACCCATAGTCTAACACGAGTGAAGGCACACATAAAGGGGGGGGGGGGGGAGCGAATAAAAAAAACACATTTCTTCCTTAACTTTCGAGGCTTTTCTTTACATTTTGCTGCATGGAGGTGAGGGACGAGAGACTGCTCCCGCTTATCGAGGAATATCTTGGGTATTTCCCGCCCTGGTGGTCGTATCACGTCTT